CGCTGCTCGTTGCCGCACTCACTCTGTTTTGCTGCATTTCGAATGCAAAACGACTCAACGGGATTTCCTGCCTCTGCGTTGCTCTGACGTGTTATGTGCTGCGTCCAGCAGGGGGAGCTGTGGAGCGTGCTGTGCCTGCTGAAGAGCACAGAGACCCTATCAGAGGAGAAGCTGGCTGGCTTGTCCATTCTCATGTCAGACTTCCAGCTCTCTCTGGCTAGTGTGCAGCCCTCAGCTAAGAGGGAAGGATTTGCCACAGTGCCTGATGTCACCTGGGAAGATGTGGGAGCGCTGCAGGATGTCCGAGAGGAGCTCACCATGGCTATACTGGTAAACACGTGGATGCATTTTTACTTTCAGAATAAGCCATGACCCTTTTATTTTATTGTCTTTTATTATACTACTTTCCTCTGTTCCTTCACACGTCACCGAGTTGCTCGATGGCTGCCTGTGTTTGGTGTCTGATCAGTGTGAGCACAGATAACACAGCCGTGTGTGTCCTGCAGGCTCCAGTGCGTTCTCCAGAGCAGTTCAGAGCTCTGGGGCTGAGTGCTCCGTCTGGGGTGCTGCTGGCTGGACCTCCAGGATGTGGAAAAACCCTGCTGGCCAAGGTTCTCCCGCCCACCAACACATACATGAGCATCATCTGTTTTCATAGCATAGTTATGAAAATCTGAGTGATGAATTTTAAACATGTTCAAACCAAATCGATTCTCATTAATTTATTTTATATGTAACTTTAATATGATGTAAATCATTCGGTCTCTTTCTGAGGATGAAGTAGGATCACTGTCAGTGTCAGTCACACATCTCTGTGGAGACTGCACAAACACACTTAGCTTAGCATAAGGCCTGTGGCTGACTTGGCTCTGTCATGCTGCTCATTTTCTCAGCGTGTCTCGCTGAATGCTTCTATTCTCTTTCCCGACAGGCCGTGGCCAACGAGTCAGGCCTCAACTTCATCTCTGTCAAAGGACCAGAGCTGCTCAACATGGTGAGTCACTGAGCTGGAGAGCACGCTGCTGTGCTGGCCTCAGCCTGTGCATTGCTGCATTGTTTTGGAGAATCGTAGCAGAGCCGAGAAACATGTGTTTGTCCTGCACCAGCAGCCGCACACGCCTGCATGTTATCTGCATATTTGGATTCTCTTTCATGACCTTTTCCTCATTTCTGTTGATTTCTTTATAAGTGTGCTGAATAAAAGTAAAGTTATGATCACAGTAACGATGCCGTCTGTGTCGACCTCAGAACTGACGTGTACTCTGTTTGCAGTATGTGGGCGAGAGCGAGCGGGCTGTCAGACAGGTCTTCCAGAGAGGGCGCAACTCTGCTCCTTGTGTGATCTTCTTTGACGAGATCGACGCACTGTGTCCACGCCGCTCAGGCCACGAGGTCAGATCATAATGTTAGCATGTAGCAACTATAAACTGCTAACTGTGTGTTCCCATTAAGCGCACAAAGCCCTGTGACTTTGTCGTGGTTAAGAAGACTCCCCGTTTACATATCTGTCAGATAGATGTTGTTCAAACCAATGCAGGTCACTTCCTGTAACAGCCAGTGTGTCTCTCTGTAGTAACATAGCGTGGTCGACAGTATCAAACGCTGCACCAACCAGGACGAGCACTTAGTTTTTAATACCTCTGTAGGCTCATCTTTCCTTTTATGTATCTATCTATGAATTTCTGTTATTATCCACATGTGCATGTGTAACATGCCAGCACTGAGAGGCAGGAAGAAAAAGGGGGAGAAAATGGAAAAATGATACACCAACCACCCCCCCACAGCAGGCGTGAACTGTCTTTGTTTGTGTTCAGTCAGGAGCCAGTGTGCGGGTCGTCAACCAGCTGCTTACAGAGATGGACGGCTTGGAGAGTCGACGGCAGGTCTTCATCATGGCTGCCACTAACAGACCAGGTACAGAGACGTACGACCATGACACCACGCCTGAAGGAGCTGCTCGGCCACGGAAACCCAGGCTATGAAGCTCCTGGTTCAC